CAGTTTGAGTGGACCGATCTGAGATTCAGACTAGCTTCGGTGTTATAGTTGTCTGGCTTGTAGTGGATGGGTGACTCGGTGTTGGAAGGTGGGTCTGAGTGTTGGTTCCGAGGGTCAGCAGTGGCTGATGGGAGTGAGGTAGAGGCGATTACGATGTGGTGCTTCAGCTTTGAAGTGAAAGATGTGATACAAAACACCATTCTGCAGGATAGCTTCAGCAATGTTTTTGTGGTGGTTACGAGTTTGACGAAGTGCTTGGATGACCTTGTAGTTTTAGCATGGATTCAGTGGACATCATGGAGCTTGTTTCTGAATAGTGTTTCGATAGAGAGACGCATGTTTACACCTCTAACAAAAACCGAGAATAGGTTGCAGTTACATGTGGGACCAAGTTGCATGGGCTGCATAGGTAGTTGAAATCTGTTACAGTTAATGGCTGTAGAAAGATGCCACCTTGACGTTAAATCCTAGTCTTCGCTCGCTATGTCGAAAGAGGCTCCAGGTTTGTAAAGTTTAATGAATGCTGCAATTTGGCATGGGAAGACGTCGTTGGAAAGCCTGTCAAGGATTACCAGCAGGACCAGAGAAAAAGCTGTAGAGGATTTTGCTGACTTAAAAGACATAATCAAAATGACATAAATATATATCAGCATATCAAAGTAATGTAATACCATTAGGCCTCTTATAATGGTGAAGTGTATGTAACATCTATGGGGTTTTGAGTCTGTTTTACTTCACTATGTAGTAACCTGAGTTATTTTAGGAATATGAATAATGTTATAATATTTAGTTAAATTCATTATTCAATATTATACAGCGGACCAACTGTTTAATGATTTTATATACATATACATGTAAAAGATTTCTTTTTCACCAGAGGTGAAATTGAAAAAAGAATCTGTGATGTATATATTATATATATATACTTCACCATTATGAAAGGCCCAATGGTATTACTTGGTTTGGTGACCCAAGCAGTGCTGATGAGCCTTGAATAGGTGAAACTGCAGTCCACAGCAGAGGTTACAGCCAATCAGAGAATGCATTAGGCTTCTATGTCACAGATTGTATTCTCTATTTCCCCTCTTAATATAAAGAAAATAAATTTTTAACATAATATATATAATCATTTAACAGTTGGTCCACTATATAATATTGAATTTCATGAAATGTCATACCATTATTCACACACCAAAAATAATTTAGATTACTATATGGTAAAGTAAAAACGGACTCAAAACCCCATACATATGATATATACAGTTCAGCATTATAAGAGACCTAATAGAATTTCTTTGGTTTGCAGATAATAAGTGCAGAAGTGAAGAGGAGCAAATGACTTAAGTAAATATTGAAGACCATTGTAGGTAAGTTGTTATAGTTTCTACTAGTTTCTATATTCTCCCTTTACCTTCAGGTAAGTCTACTCATTCTCTCCTCAGACTATAGTACAACCCCTAACAACAGCTCTTCTCAGGGCTCCTTCTCATCTAACTTTTGATTTATGTTATGAAGTTTGCCCATTCACCCTAAGATGCCCGGACCACACAGGACAATTGTCACCCATTCCCAGGTCAATCCCTGACCAAGTTCTCCAGCTAAATCAACCAGTTCAACACCTAAGAAGGATACCCAGCCTACCACCACTAAGCATCCACCCACTATCATAGTAGAACGAATTCAACCACACATTCAACCAACTGGATATAGCCAAATAATTTATATGTCTTTACAGGTATCCAATTCTCAAAAATACGCCACTCTCCAAATGGAGGAGTATGTGTCAAGTGTATAATTCCCTGTGGCTATGTAACCCTCCTGAAAAGCTGGCCAGACAGTGTTCTAGGGTGCCAAGATCTCAACCCACGCCACAGGCAGGTCACTTCCGATAAAGCCAATCGTCATCAAGGATGTGCCTCTGGACATTCTTTAATAATCTTAACCAGCGTAATGCAGCATGGTCTGTCCTGATGGTAAACCTTGCACCATAGATGTAAGGATGGAAATATGTCAGAGTCTTTAATCTAGCAAGGAGTTCCCTACATGTTACACAGTAGTTCCTCTCTGGTCTACTCAAAACACTACTGAAGTAGGCCACCACATGTTCGTTTTCGCCCACTTTCTAAGACAACACTCCTTCAATTCCGACATTACTAGCATCACAATCCAGTAAATATGGCAGTGAGGGATCTGGAAGCTATAAAAGTTGAGATACGGCCAATTTTTCTTTCAGTGTCTTGAAAGCATGCTGGCAAGAAACTGTCCATTCAAACTACTGGCCTTTTTTTTTGGTCAAATCATGTAGTGGAGCAGCTATAGATGCAAAGTCCTTCACAAACTTCTGGTAATAGGTACAGAGTCCAAAGAAACTTCTTAACTCTCCCACATTGTCTGATGTTGGCCAATCACGCACTGCTTTCACCTTGTCAGGATCAGTTTGCACACCATGCTCTCTTACAATCTGGCCTAAGTAAAGCGCCTCTTTCTGCAACAAGTGGCATTTCTTGGGACTCTGTAACTA